TATTTAGTTTTTCATTTACCTGAAGATGGGTTGCTGCTGGCAAACACTGCCTCGTTAGAGTCCTCATATTCTTCATTAAGTAAGCCATATCGTCAAGAATTTTGTCCTGAAGAGGCAAGCTACTGCCGTAACCTGTCTTGCTTGGCGAACCTTGATTCAATTGGTAGGAATTCATCACATCAAACCATTTATCGATGATTTCAATAACCTCAGCGAGAAGTATCGCTTCATTGTATTCGCCGAAATGCCTTCGGAGATTCACGGCGGTCGTATGGCTGAGGAGCTCCGCAGCTAGTCTGACGTTCTGCCTTTCAGCTCGAGCAACTGTCACGTGCCTTAGAGATAGTTTGAACATTGAATTGAACTCTACATTCCTGAATTCGGGGCCATCTTTCGCCAACGGTTTTTTGAGTGTTGACGCCTTTTCAATCAACAGTTCCAAGAACTTTTTTGTTACTAATTGCCCTGTTGAATATAAATTAATACTACTTAGGGGTCGTCCATTAATTATGTCACACTTTTAGGGGGGAGGGGGGTTTTGGAAACTGTGACGAGTCATACAAAAAAAAATTAAGGTCCATACAAAACATGTGACAAAGGGGGGAGGGGGGGGGGGTTGAAAATGGGCCAAATTTGCGTGACATAATTAATGGACCAACCCTTATCAGTAATACTTTATTTACGCTCAGTGAAGGAGAAGGTGGGGCAAGGTGGGTAAGTTCATTGAATATTTTATTTATTTATTTGTCAGCATCAACAGGGTCAATGTTACCCCAATGATAGTTTTATTTTTCCAGCTACATTGAGCCTGTTGATGTTAATCAATCAATCCATCTTGCCCTAATATAAATAAGGGGTAATATAACATGTTAAGGAATGGTCAATCATACCTTTGTAATAAAATCCATGGTCCAGCATCCAGTTCCTTATGAGCTTAAGAAGGTGTGGGACATCGGGAAAGAAATATATATTTTCGTGTGTAACAGGGTGTTGCATCGCGGTTTGTTCTTTTGAGTAGTCTATTCCTATTTCTTTCCACAAGCTCACATTTGCTCCTCCGCAGTCATGAACGTTCGCTACAACAGTGAATCCGATTTCATGAAATCGAGTAATGATGTCGTTCAAAATTGTTGTTGTTATCTGTCTGTCAAAATCCACAAAAACCGGTTGCTTCCAGTTTGAAAAAAGACCACGAGCTGACACAACCTGCATTTCTTTGTGTGGGCCCACAATACTATCATTCCTTTTGTCTCTCTCCACGGTTTCGTTAACGGACATTTCGTCGTAAGCTAGCACTACAGCTTTCTCGCGGCTTGTCATTTTACTTCCAACAATTTTCATAACCAAAAACACTTCGTTCAGGATTCCCCTTCTCATGTTTATACAGGAGGCCCACTCTCGTAGGCTTCGAAGGCATGGTAGAGGGATTTTCATTTCGTTGCGTACTATCTGGTACGCAGGCTGACTGTGATACCTATAAATAGAAAAAGAAAAACGAATATTCATGCAATTGGGCTGCATAGTTTCGAAAAACAAACACATTTTAATACATCATCTGAACGAGCTTCGTTTTCTGAGCACAAATATATTTTTATCGATTCCATAGACATTCATATCGATTTGTAAACCAAGTTTTAAAATGAGAATAAATTGCTTTATCTATTAGAAAGGTACAAAAACTACTAGGTAGGAGGTACAAAACTATTTGAGCGCTTTACTTTTATGTTTATCAATCGATGCTATGAAACATGATGTATATCCTCATGCAAAAATAGAGCGTTAAGGACTTCGTTTACTTACTGACGAAATTAGGTAATGGTACATACTGTCAAAGTTGTCAGTTACCCTTAAATGCTTAAAGGGGAAATGGCTCTAATGTCGGCCTATGGATCTAAGATTGGGCCCATCGCTAAAAGTCTGCTATTTATCAATTTTATCTAGATAAACGCGTCATTGGGACGGTACTAATGGATATTTTTAGTCGCTGTTGAAAATTTAGTCGATTGCTGAATTTATGTATGGGCCCAAATTAGGGGCATATAGGCCGACATTACATCCATTTCCCCTATAACTATAAATTACCTCAAAGCAAATGCCATTGCGATCTCCGCATTGGTCCATACAACTTTCTTTTTTACACCCAAGATCAAGTCGATTTGATTAGGAGTAAACAAAGTCAAAAATGCCGCACGAATCCGATGTTTGATAACACATTCGGCAACAGAACTCATTTCACTACATGCCTTCCGTAGACATGTATTATCTTTCTGTAAATCGTCCAGTTTTTTCTGCTGATTTTTCATAACTTTATTGCAAGTTATAAGTTGCGCGTCTCTTGCCCTTAGCTATAAAAGAATGTATATTAAATATGTAAAATATTTCGTTTCTTTTGAAACCTTACCTGCGCACGCAAGCTACGAATAGTTTGGCGTTGAGTTTTAATAATAACAGTTAAACGACTTACAGTTCCAAGTTTTGTCGTATTTACTGTTGGTTCAAAGCTTGGATCCTTAAGTGACATTTTGTCCACGCACGTTGAACTGGAAACTGGAAAAAGTTCAGCATCGACAATACCACTGTCGAATGTTTGACTATTCTTTGTCGTGTTTCCCGTAAATGCACAGTTAAGATTTGGTTTATTAGTGTGAAGGTTATCAGCATCAGAGCTAATAGAAACTTCAACTTCACTTATGTTGGTCCTTTTAGCTTGAGAAATGAGCATCGCTTCCCAAAGAACATCAAAGTTTCCAAAGCTCGTGACAGTATCATTTCCGGGAGAATCTTCATGTGTACTTCTTTCGTTCCGGTTATCGGGAGGGTTGCGAATCGCTTCCAACAAAACATCAAAATTCCCGTTTCGCTCACCGTTGAGCTCGACATACTCATTGTTGTTCGAATCATAAAATGTACTGCTCAGCATAGGCTTGAATGAATCGTCATCAACCGAGACCAAATCGTTAGTTTTATTTGGGGATTGATGTGTTGAACCGTGTTGATTTTCATTGGTTTCGTATGCTTGCATCAGCTCGGAAATCAGTTCTTTACGAGCCCTCCGCTGAGCGCGCACTGACCGATCCGATAATGGTGCTGACTCAGGTACACGAATTGATGGGACAGCTATAAAGCAACAATTATGTAATTCAATAGGTAATTTAATTTGAAAATTTAACTGTATACCTGATTTTCTCAAAACACGGCGCGTATTGGTACTATAAAAATTATCGAAATCATGTTTTTCGAAATGCTCGGAACAAATGTAGCGCTTGCCCGATTTTTGCTGCGGTCCACAAAATGATTCCCATTGTTTACATTGGGATTTGTTCTTTGGAAAAACGTGCAAACTAATTGAACATCCACTTTTTTTAATGTGGTATTCAGAAACACCGCATCCTTTCACGGCACATGAAGGCATTTTTAGCCAAATTCGATTAGTACTAACAATATACGAGACCGAAAATAATTCGCACTTGCTGGATTAGCTTTGCTTCACTTATTTGTAAACACGGAGTTTTACGTCACGCATTTTCACGGATGGTAGACTTCGCGATATTTCACAAACACTATGACATTATTTTGCATCACACGACCACCATTTTACGACCATTGCCTCACCTGTATACATCTCATTGGGTCCAGCCTGGGTTACAGCGCTGGAAACCAAGCGGAATCAAGTGAAATGGTGTTCCACGTTCGAGTTATGACTACGTATGCGTCATCGCTAGATATTGATTGCCACAAGCAAACAGGACAGTAATGCAAATATTGCCAGAGTTGCAGCAAAAGCGAAAACGGTCAGCGACTTGCAACGTCGACTAGCTCACCTAAAGAGAGGTGCATGAGCACATAATCCGACAAAATTGTATGGATAGCTGTCAACGATTTTGTTTGTTTGTAATTTTTGAGGCAGTCATCGTAGTTGATCAACTAACCCCGGTGTACTCTCCGAGTATCGGTAACAATTGATAAACAATTTTCAATTAAGGCTCTACATACTGTCCCCTTGAACTGAGTCAACAATTAAAAGGAGTGCAGTATCATGAGAGCATAGTACGTATTTGTCTTCCAATTAAGTCTGTACGCGGTAAAACCCAGACATTGTTGTTACAGGAAAAGTAAAACATAAACATCGCAGACCGATCAAATGTTGTACAATCTCACTAATTGTTATCATACTCAAATTCAATTGTAATTCGTCGACATTTCCACACAGTCTTTAATGTGTACTATACGTTCGTATTTTGATGTGTAATTGTATCTTTTTGTATACGTATTATTTATAGGATGTTTAGGTGCTAAAAGTCATAGATTGACCATCCCCACCGGAGATTACATTACCGACTAAACTGTTGCCATCATACTACACTCGTTCGAGGCAAGGGGCAGATTTTCCCTCTGCTTTTTTTTCACTACTTTCGGACAACACCGTGTGGGTTTTCATTTCACACACGTTTTCCTCACCTCTTCCATGTAAAGTGCAGTTTATTTTCCTACAGTTTTTCGTCGTGCTAGATCAGTCAGACGACCGGCCGGTCTGAGCCGAAATGACGACGACGGCAACGTTTTGCGTCGTGTCGTCGTATATTTTCCTTTTCCCAATTCGTTTTCCGCTCTCCCACCGAGCAAGCACAAATCTCAGCATCGGTGGCGGGTCAGTCTATCAGAACCAAACGTGAAGAGCTACAGACAAGATCTCAATTTTCGAAGCTCGTCAACTCGAAACGGCGGGAGCATTAAGTGGAATATCGCCGCTAAGGAATATTATATCTATCATGTGACAATGTCGAAGAAGAGAGTTGATTAACAAGCCGACCAAATATAAATAGTGATTCAGTGTACCTGATTTTTTCTTCGCTGTAAAGACGTTCAATGTGCTGCCCGATTTTTTTTATTAGTCATTAAAAGACATATTTTAAAGGTGCGATCGAGTTTCACGAGATTTAAAATGCGTTAAGTGGTTTAGTTGAATAAAACGTGATTTCAATTTCTCTGCTTTCCAACAGTTTTATCATCAAATCAATGGAAGAGTTTGTCCAGAATGACTACATCATCGCTTACTTCCATCAGGGCATGAAAGATAACAGCAAACCGTCCCTGCAGTTTCTGTGGAACTCATACAAAGAACTGGATCGTAGTTTTAAGAAGAATCTGAAAAAGTTATACGTGGTAAGTACTCGTTTTTTTTTTCTCGATTAAATTTATTTGATTAGTGTCTTAAGTAGGCGTACTGTCAACTTTCCACAAATCGATGGATTCGGTGGTCCCTTCATAAGTCGATATTTTCATATGTCGAAGCCTCCTTTGGTCAATGATCTGTGTAGTGTTATTTTGATTCTTTAACTCGATATGTCAAAGGTAGAGCCTCTGAATTATGTGATTGTGATGTTCAATTCAAAGGAACTTTATAAATTGAGTACCAAGGACCTGTCGGCCATATCCGAACATATTTCTGGTTTCCTTGGGGATATTAATTCATACCAGAACTGCCGTTCTACGCATATCCGTCCCATGTTCTAAAAGTTGTACAAAATTCGAGATGATGTCGACAAAATGCGCCAGAAATTGTCTCTTTGTGTATCCCGTTAATCGCTAACAGTAATCCAAGGCAACATAATTTGTTTATTTGGTTCTACATCAACAGACTGGGTTTAGTCCTAATTATGGATTAAGCAATACTAGGATTTTTTTAAATCTTTATTTAAGAGATTTTTAGCCGAAGGCTAGTTCATCTCTCTACTAGGAAATACAATATATTCAAGAAGTAACAAGCTGCAGAAGCCGTGAAGTCAAACTTAATTCCTTATTCTTAAAAAATATATCACGGAATCTCTGTCGCAGCGTCTCGCGTGCCTAGTGAAAATCAAATAAGGAAGCAACACGATTGAAAACCCTTTGTAGCCCATTGATAGCACCATACGAACTATAGTTTGTACAACGAAAAGGTATCCTCAGCATTGCGTTGTTACGAAGTGCTCGTGGTTGAACGTTAACGTCGATTTGTTGTAGAATAGAAGGACAACCGATTCTGCCCTGTAGAATGTCTGCCACAAACAGGGCTCTTGTCGTATCTCTTCGATTCCACAAAGGATCCAGGTTAATTAACTGGCACCGACTTTCGTAGCTTGGAAGGCGGCGATGAGAATCCCTCCAAGGCAATCGTCGAAGGGCAAACCAGATGAATCGTCGTTCAATAGACTCTACTCTTTGTACACCGTTTTGGTAATTGGAATTCCATACTGGGCCAGTATTCTAACACCGACCGGACGAGGTAGCAGTAAAGCGACTTCAAACAGTAGATGTCCGTGAAACTTTTAGCTATCCTGAAAATGAAGCCGAGTTCTGGATGCCTTGTCGATCACGTACGAGATATGATGGCTGTATGTGAGTTGACAATCTAAGATGACTCCCACGATGACACGATGAACGTCAACGCCTTCTAGGATATAACTGCCGAATTTATAACCATGCGGTTCAGTTGGCACCAATTAGCAAAAGCGTTGAGTTGGAGTTGGAGAAGGTGGCAGTCAGCGATGGCTCGGATTCGGAGATAGATTTTCATGTCGTCTGCGAACGGCAGTCGTGGACCGTCGAGGACGAGATTGACGTCGTTTAAATGAACAAGAAATATCAACAGGCCGAGGTGGCTACCTAGCGGAAGTGGAGGCGAACCAGCCCAAGGCTGAAAGCCTCCCTAATAAAGATAAATAATAATAATAATACCTAGCGGAATACCCGAAGTGGTAGGGAACGAAGGAGATCAGCAGTCGTCGATTTCAACTTCCAACTGACGATTAGATAGATAGGATGCGAACCATCGTAGGAGACTGCCGTTTATACCAAGCCTATCCAGTTTGGCGATCGCTATAGGATGGTTCAACTTATCGAAGGCGGCTGATAGGTAAGTGTAGATGACATCTGTTTGCATATGGTCTGTCATACTCTCCGTAATGTACGAGGTGGGACACAGGAGGTTGGAAGTAGTCGACCGCCCTGCCATGAAACCATGCTGGTGTTCGCTCAAGTGCTGCTTGAAGTGAGAGACTAATGGTTCCATAAAGACCAACTCGAACAGTTTAGATATGGCACACAACGATGTGATGCCGCGATAGTTGTGTAGTTCTTATGTACTGGAAGCATCTCAGCTGATTTCCAGCAGGAAGGAAACACCCCACTGGAGAGGGACATTTCGAACAGAAGGCAGAGAGAAGCCACCAGGCTATCGATGTGTTGCTTGAGAAAGACGGAAGGAACTCCGTCAGGTCCAGGCTTAAATGAAGACTTCAGTTGCGAAGCCGCCCTAGTTATCATAGCAAGGTCGATGTTGATAGCTGCCAAAGATTGACCATACATTGGAACATTACTGGCTGCTATAGAAACGTGCTCGTCAGGTAGGTTCTCATCCGAGAATACATTCGCAAAGTTGGTTGAGAACAGACGGCAAATGTTCTGAGGGGATGAAGCTTCTTCGCCGTTCAGTGCCATAGTCGATGGAAGGCCAGACTCCTTTCGTTGCTCATTCACATAATTCCAAAAAGTTTTCACCGATAACATTGGCGACTGGTTCGTTGATACGCATGATTGATCCTCGCATAATGGTCCTTGAGTTGTAGGGTGTGTTACTTGGGGTATTTTCTTAGCGCGGCTCTTTTGCAAGACTTTAACATACGGAGTTCACTTGTTTGCCAAGGATGATGATTACCTTGTTTAGGAACTTTTTTTTTGACGTAAGCCAAAATATGCGAGAGCATTTGGCCAGCTGCATTGACATCGGCAGGGACGAGTACCCTGTGCCAGTCCAAATTCAAAAGAAGTTCCCCAATACTGTCGTGGTCAGCATTTCGGAAATCGTAGGAGACCTCAAGGGGGTGGGGGGGTGGTGTTGGAATGACCACAGGAATTTGGTTGCCTTCAAGTGCAATAACTAAAGGAGGATCATCAACGGAGAAACATTATTATTATTTAGCTTTATTTAGGAGGCTTTCAGCCTTAGGCTGGTTCGCCTCCAATAAAACGGAGAAACAGCCATAGACAAATGCGGAGCAGTATCCTGAGCGGTGACGAAGCAAAGGTCTAAGCTACGATTGTTCTCATTAACCACGCTTCAGAGTGATGATACTGTAATGATCCAAAAGGCTTACAGCTCCAGAGTGAAATGTAGAACGGTCGTGGACCGGATACATGAATCCACCGTTAGATAATCGCCAAGAAATTGCCGGTAGATTGAAGTCGCCATACATGATCATCCTCTCGCGCGGTCAGATCGAGTGGATCGATAGAAAATATATAGTAGACAATAGTAGTATAGCTATTGTGATATTGGAAGAGCCAGCGTGTGGTCGGCCCACAATGGTACGAACGAGGCCATTACCGCCATAGGACGATAAAAGAACGCGGCTTCAACATTAGCACGGAGTAACTTGTAGCGAGAGAGCGAGAACCACTAGAACTACGGAGTAGCAAAGGCCTTCATCAGAGGGCCTTTTATTTGATCCGCTCCACGATTGTGTGCTGATGGACCCGCCAAGCCGAATCTAACCGCGCTGAGCCACCAACTTCCTTCATCGACGACGAGAACGTTCTCCTACCCATGATCCCTCGAAGCAGTGCATGCCTAGGAATTTATTCAAAACTTCCTTTCTTCTCCCTAGAAATACGGTGGAATTCATCTTAGAATCTCTTAGGACCATATCTCAACATTTTTTTTGAATTCTGGACAGAATTTTTCACATGTTTTATTGGAAACCTTCTCAGCATTTCTTTTGAATTAACATTTTAATTCTTTTTGAATTCACCACACATTTCCATAGGTAATCTCGATAGAATTCTATGACAAATATTTAAATTATTAAATCCCTGAAAGTTCGTTTGAGTTCCAAAGTCTTGAAAATTGTCCAGGGTGAAATCGAGGTTCTTTATTTTTTCAAGATCCCACATTTTGAATATTTTCTCAGTCCCAGATTGATGAATTTTTTTCCAATTACTTTCGAAATTTTTAAGGTTTTCACCGGTAATTTCAAAATGAAAATTCACTGGCCACCTCGTAATCGATTTTTCTTTCTTTTCGGAATCTATATTTTGGACTCAAAATAATTAGGTACACTATGAGACTGATTTGACGGAAACATCATTTCTCATATTACCTTATGCATCATATCTAATGACCACATTGCATTAATTAAGACCGCTCCGATAATTATAAATACACTAACGAAGAACCGTCTTTTCAAACTGCGTGAAATATTTCACAAAATCCTGGCTGCATCCTGATGTTTACATCCTACTCTAACACGTGATGTCAGTTTTGTTTGAATATTTTGCGATGAAATGTGAAATAGCGTGGCCTTACTCATGAACAAAGAAAGCGGATTGCGCACAAATGGTGTACCGTGAGTGGACTTTCCTTAAGAAAACTGGCTAAGGAGGAGGGTGTGAGCGTTGGAGCAGTACAAACCGCATTACGGAAGTATGAAGAATCATGCACTTTCGAAGATTCTCCGAGGCGTTAAAGAAAACCTGGTCCCATTGACCCTGCAATCAACCGGAAGATAAGAGATCGTTTTAAGCAGCATCCATCAGCATCAGTGCGAAATGTGACGACGAAGATCGGTACTTCGCCAACAAATGTCATGCGGGCCAAGAAAAAATTGGGATTGGAAATCCATCGGAAGCAGAGGCAAGCAAAACGAAGCAGGCTGCATTTATGAAGATAGGAGCTGGGGGAAAAATCGGGTTGTATAATCATGGACGATGAGACATACGTGAAACTCCATTATCAGACTCTGGCAGGACCGCAGTTCCACACTTCGCCCAAAGTAAAAGGATGTTCCTGAATCAGTCAAAGCCATTTACACCGAAAAATTCGGCAAGAAGGTCATTATTTGACAGGCGATACGCCAGTGTGGAAAAAATCGAAGATATAAACACGATACTTCAGAATCCAATAAATGGATGAAACGTGGACATCTCGTACCGTACGTTCCGATTTTGATAATTATATTGGTTGTTGGAAGCATCAAAGCTAGAAAGGTTAAGTGATGCTCCATTTTCTTCAGACGGTTGGGACATGAGCACTAACTCTTGTCCTAGCCTTTTATGGCTTATGGCTATAGCGCCATTACTCGCTTTCTGAAAAGAGAAGAGGGAAAGGAAAAGGAGAAGGACAAAGGGACAAAGGGGACAAAGGGAAAAGGATCATGCTAACTCTATGAACATAAACAATATTTTTGATTTGAAATATACAATATAGAAATACATAACGGCGGTGGTCTTGTCACTATTATCAAGTCATAAAAAGTAACAAGCACTAAAATTTATTCCTTTGATTACTGGAAAATCCTGATTCCCTAGTTTGAAGTTGTCACAACTAGGGTTCGGTGGTAGATCTTATACCAGTAACACACCACAAAAAGGTGATCTCCCAATGTTACTGGTTTGAAAAGATAAAAATTTACCAAATGGAACGAACTCACCAAGTTTAGCCAATTGAACCTGAATGCTGCCTGACATGTGTTGATGTAGAAGTTCAAATTGTAGACAAAGCTTGACGAAGATCAACATGAACTAGTCCGGTTTATAGTAGTTGTGCGGAATGTCTTTCGCCGATTTGAGATAAACAAATGATGCATGCAGTTGATTTTTGATCGTGCCAATAGTCAGGTTCAACGCTGTGACTCAACGAATGATTGAACTAATGATGGGACGCCTCGTGGAGGCTCTACTTGGCTTCGGAACAGCTTCTCAGCGGCAAATAATAGGGATTGAGGAACTAAAAATTGTCTCCTGGGCCTAGTTTTGGCCGGATCAGCAACCGATTATAGATAAAAAAAAACTCCACGGAAAAAAACAAACGTCAATTTCGATCACACGCACAGCCTACTCTCTAAACAGCATTTGAACATTTGAAAGCAAAATGGTCAAAAACTTTACACTGGTTTTATTTAATTCACTAACAAAGTGTATTTATAATTTAACCAAATTTAACGCATTTGACAGATGCAATTTTTCTTTCATTCATGTAGGGGAAAAGTTGGCTTCGGCAATACCTTAACCTATTATCGTCAGGTGGTAAACAAAGTCCTAGAGCACTCAAATTTGGCCAATAGTTGCTCTGAAACACAATTTATCCACATGCCAAAATGGAGCTCTCAAGGACGTTGTTTACCCCCCTGACAATAATAGGTTAAGGTATTGCCGAAGAAAACTTTTCCCCATTTGCAAAAAAAAAAATCCACAAAAAGTTTTTCGTGACGATCTTGTAAAGTTTTCGAACGAATTGGATATGGCCAGATTTCGATCGAATTATCCTAATTAGCAACTCAGTTCAATTTTCGAACAAGTAAAACCTACTATTTTATAAACTGTTGACCAGTAGCTACTAGTGCGGTCTCATTTTGCTGCACCAACGTTCAAACATCAACTTGAACTAACAATTGCCAACTGTGTTCTTCTCCAACTTCCAGGTGCATCCAACGACCTTCATCAAAATGGTGTGGTTTTTCTTCAAGCCAGTAATTAGCGAAAAGTTTAAGAGCAAACTCATCTACACATCCAGCCTGGACGAGCTGAAACAGTCATTAGGATTAAATACGCTTAAAGTGCCGGACACTGTTAGAGAGTAAGTCACCCTCGATGAGGAAATCTAAAGCGGTTCTCATTAAAAATTGATTCCCACCAATCAACAGATTCGATGAAAAAATCAACAGCAGCACCCGCTACACGCTACGGGGCAGTAAATCTAGTCTCAAGAGCAGCCGCTCGATGGAAAACATCCCCAAGACGACGCAGTTTGGCGTATCGCTCAAGTTCATCATCGAGAACAGTGCCTGCCTCAATTGCATTCCACCGATCGTGCGCAAGTGCGTCGATCATCTATCCCTGTCCGATGGTAAGTGGCGTCTTTGATCGTATAAAAGTAAACCTATCTAACCTTTCATTCGTTCAAACAGTAATCGATACCGAGGGTATCTTCCGGCGGTCCGGGAACTATACTCGGATAAAGGAGCTAAGGGAAAAGTTAAATCAAGGCGAAGAGGTGAATCTTTCAAACGAAGACACGCACGTGGTGGCAGCTCTGCTGAAAACGTTCCTCCGCGAGTTGGAAGAACCGCTGCTCACCTACGAGCTGTACGACGACATCGTGCAGTTTGCCGAGTGGACCACCGAAGAGCAGCGATCGAGGAACGTCAAGCAGATCCTTCGGGAGAAACTGCCGGAGGAGAACTATGAACTATTCAAGTACATCGTCGAATTCCTAGGTAAGATCATGGAGCGAAAAGATTTCAACAAAATGACCTCGTCCAACCTGGCGATCGTCTTCGGGCCAAATCTGATCTGGCCCAAGCAAGCCCAGATGTCGCTGGACGAGATCGGGCCCATCAATGCGTTCATCGATTACGTCCTGCAGAATCAGGACGATATCTACTTTGTGGATATCAACAAAAAGGACGGCGGTTACGATTAACAGCGGCTGATTTAAGTTAAGTTGGGATTCTCTGTGCGAACTTTCTTATGTTGATTGATGTGCATTTTCTATTCGATGTGTGTATGATTTTATGGTGGGAGATTTCCGGGAATGGCAAATAGCTTTGCTATGTGCCATTTTCGAAAGTGTACCTAAAGTATCGTGTGTGCACAAATGATCGTTTCGATTTTCTGTATGTATAGGAATTTAAGTTCACTGAAAAACCGTACCTCTACAATTATGAATTTGTTGTACGTAGGCGACTACTACTCGTGTAACTAAAACAAAACATTCTTTAACGCTAGTGTGATAGGAAGTGCGAGATTTTAGCGAGATGAGTTTGTAGATATCGGCGCGAAAGCGTAAGGATTTTAACAGATAAATATAGGGAAAAAAGTGTAATTGCAATCGCAGAAAGCACACAATAATAGTCATTATTAAAGTAAATTGTTGGTTATCTTTTTCGAATAATTTATACAAATAAGGATTGATTACGTTGTTTAGACAAAGGAAACACACAAATTACGGATCGAAACCAAAGACGAACGGATGTAAATATTTCAGCAATATTACCAGCAACGCTCTTTAGAACGAAGGTTAGGCAGCTGATTACGGCCCCCCCCGAGTCGCACAGGGGGGCACATCTCAGGCATTTCCGTTGTCTCTTTCCCCTTCACGAGGAGAGTTTCTGGTGTGCCAAAGGGAGCATCCCAGAAACAAAAGAAAATTCAAATCACTACCGAACCGTAACAGTCTGAAACTGATATCAATAGTTCTTCTCCACTCAAATCTAAACAATTTTATCGATTAGATGCCATTTAGAATGGAACTGAAATAGAGCTACTAGACCAGTCTACAGTTACTACTATCCATTTCGCTCATCTTAGCTCTACGTAAAAGTTTTAACTACTAACCTGAACTAGTGGATCCCCTTTCCCTGGAATTCGCTCCCGGAGGAAAAGAACTTAAAACCAGAATATCTATCGGAAATTCAATACGACTGTTGGAAAGAAAGTGGCAGCAACGCGCAAGGTAATAGTAGGTAGTCGGCGAACTTAGTTTCGAAACTTATAGAAGAAAGGTTATATTGTTCTCTAGAAAGCGCACGCAATATGGGTGGATCCGAGTTGTATGGGAACCGTGTCGTTAAAGTCTATTAGTATACAGTAAGTGAGAGGGGCTTCAATGCGGAAGAAATTGTACATAACCTGTCGCTAAAAGGAAGCACTCGATTTATGGGATGGTGAGTCTAGCGAAAAAATATACAATCATCTGACACATATGAAGACGCACTGGTGGTTATGAATGGTCGCAGGCCTGTAGTTTTGAAGAATCCTTAAATCCATAAATGCTTAAATTTGGCGATGGTCTGATAGTCTAGTCTAGTCTACACATAGACAGCTAGTTCTTGACAGAATCCTGGAAAATGATAGAAGTACTTATATAAAAATACTGCATTTTATTAAGAGGCAACATTTAAATCCGACGCGGGATTGTATTTTTCTATGACAAATTTGTATGTGTAATGTGCAGCAGGCCACTCTCGATGTGTGTCACGCAATCGTCTGTTTACTCGGCAGCAACCATTGTGTGGTCCTCCTCATTGCTCTTCATCATCAGTTCTTTCGGTCGATGCGTCGTCGATTTTGGAAAGCAACCGTTTCGTGATGATTGTGTAAGTGCTGACCACATTTTGCGTCCATTGCTGCAATGGAAGCGCTCTGTCCCCCATTGCAACAGCTTAAAGCGGATCCCGTTCTGATGGAGCAGGCTTATTGGATAGCGGATGATAAAGTGTTTGGATCCTCGGCTCTGTAAAGTTCATTCGATTGAGCCTTATCAAATAAATTAATAATAACAAAAAAAAACAGGTTATCAGGAAAGCCCTTTAGTATGGGATCCTGGAGAAGAAGAAAATAGGAAAACCAGCGCAAGGCACGATGTAGAAGGAAGCGGTCGATTGGCGGATTATTGGCAAGAGGTGATCAATAACTGAAGCGGGTTTAAAACAGCCACGACAAGATTGTTCACTGAAATGGTGGAATCAGAATACGAAGACTCGGAAGGTACTCTCAGTGATTCAAGAAGCGATGTTCAACTGAACATCCCGGATTTCAGAGGTTCCTCAAACGTCTATAGGATGATGCTTTCCCAGGATTCGTCTAATTAGCATCATAATAATATACCATCGCGCTACTGTCAAACTCTGTGATGGTTAAATCAACTAACAACTTCCCTTACTGTTCACCAATCTCGATCATTATTAACAGGTAAATATTCATTTTATTCAATTTATATTATACTGTCAGCACTATTTATACTATAACTACAACTAATTCATCAATTGACCTGCATTGGGTTATTATTTTGCATGCAATGGAAAAAGGGGGGACTCACGATTCAGCATGTAGAGTATATGGGAGCCGTTCTAGGGGTTGTGTGGGGCATGTGGTTCATTTTAGGCATTATAGTTTGACGTGATCAGCATGAACACCTCACGTTTTAGAAAGTGGCCTTGAGACTTGAGATTTGGCCTTCATAAGATCCTCTTCTGTTTCGAAAAACCAAATAGGCAGTGTGTGTGTGTGTGTGTATTTACAATCTAACTCCCACTGACTGGCAGTGGCATTATGGATAGAATCGTCCTGCTACCATCTTTTATATAAATAATTGCAAGAAGCTTAAATCCGGGAGTTAGAAGGTGACAAAAACAGCTCTATCGCAACGCCAAAAGCCCATTTCAAGAACGCAAGCATTCCGAAGCTATTTATAATACGATACGTATACGATAAGCCCCACTCCAATACATTTCAATGTGGGAATCATTAATAATGTACTGGAACTTTCAATCAAGCTGTATTGCTTGATTGACGCGTATTTAATGAGTTTGAAATGTTTGTTGTATCACTAGTACTAGTACTCGAAAAATTAAGCATGCAAATACTATAAAGGACAAAATGGAACGAACTCCCCAAATCTGGCCAAGTGAACCCAACAGCTTGGCCTGATGTGTTAGAGGGGAAGTCACAATTGTAGACGGTTCGCTTCACGGGGTAATCCGGTTTGTAATAGAGCTTGCACGAAATGTCCCGAATGTAGCCTTGAAACAACTCTTGGCCGTCCGACACAATTCAGGAAATTCAAGTATCCGTTCGTAACCAATACCACTTTCTGTTTAAAAAAAATCCGGAACAACGCAAAATCCAAAAAATTGACGGGGGGAAATTTTTCCGCAAGCACAGCACTCTTCGATCCTCCCATATAGCCCTAAATAGGCAGTACTTCTAAAATTTTAATTTTTTCTACAGAAAATAATTGTTTCTGTTAAATCTTTTTATGGTAATACTGTTCATTGTTGACCCTTCAACTCTTCTTATTCGTTGTTTACAAGGTCGCTCATACCACCCCAGCAGGGTGCTCATTTTACCCCAACGGTTATTGGGCTTGAAACTATCCATTTGGTTAAACATCATTCGAATTTTCCACTGAATTTTGTATGATTAGTGATTTTCTTAAGGTGGCCAAACTGCCCCACTTTCCCCTGGGATGGGAAATCCAGCTTTTTTGGACGAAAAATCCTAATTTCAATTCTCCCCATTTTTCCGAAAAGTTTGTTGACTTCCAGAACTTTCTTAACTGACGGGTTATTTAAGTTAAAACTGCAATTATACAAAGTAACAGTAGTAATGCAACTTTTAGCGCTTTTAAAAGTAATAAAAACTCGTAAACTGTGCTCCTTTTGTGTGGCCTTTTAAATGTTCAGCATTTGAAAAATTGTGTCATTTTTTGAACAGCACATTTACGAGAGTTCACTAACTAAAACTATCAACAAACCATCGAAAGATGTAAAGAATAACTTAGTCTTATCAGGCAAAAGTTGTTGAAGAGTCGAAGCAAGCAATGGAAATTCAACATCATTCCGTTGCTATGTATTTTCCTTAGGAACCACTATATTATACTGACCTATACTGACCATAAAGATTTTCTTCATTAGTAGTTCAACCATCAACTATCAAGCATGGTCGTTCTCTGTGAAAGCGTTGCTGCGGAGGGAGCAACTCTGTAAGCATGTGGAACCAGGTACTCCTCCGGCACCGATGACGGACGCTTGGAGGGACGGCGATATGAAGACGTTGGTCACGATTCATTTGATGGAGGATGAGAGGCAATACAGACTGATTTGTGACAAAATGACCGCGAAGGACACGTGGACGACTCTCAAGAAGCACCACGAAAAGACCACGTTAGGGCAGCGAGCGACCCTACTTCGACAAATCACGAACCAGAACTTTAAGGTAGGGGATAACATGGCGGCCTATCTGGTGGAAATTGAGAAGCAGTATGCGCGTCTGGAAAATCCGGGATTTGAAATGAAGGAGTGTCTTAAAGTGGCGCTGATATTGCGAGGACTTCCGGAGTTGTTCAATCATCTGACAACGGCTTTGGAAGCGCGGAACGAGGATGAGCTCACCCAGGAACTAGTGAAAGTGAAGCTGCTGGAGAAGCGGATAAACTTCGGAAACGGTCCAGTTTAGAAGAACAAGCGCTACGAAAAATGTCGCAGTGGTAAGGCAGAGCAGAAGAAAGAAAAGGCCAAGGCCAAAACAGTGCGCGAAAATGACTCAAGGTCGTTCACGTTTATAGTGCGGTCTGGTAAGCATGATGCGAGTGCGTGGGTGATTGATTCGGGCGCAACGTCACATTTGGCGAAAAATCGCAGTTCTTTCGTGCGTCTCGATAAGAGCGAACTTCGGAGTCCCACCAGCGCGGTACCCCGACATTGCAACGTGGTTGACTGCAAGTGGGTGTACAAGTGTAAGGAAGATGAGTCCGGGCAGATTGTGCGATACAAGGCCAGGTTGGTTGCACAGGGGTTTTCCCAAAAGTACGGTACTGATTACGGTCAGGTGTTTGCAACGATGGTAAAGCAAATCACATTCCGGACCGTGCTAATGATAGCGAGCAAGCGACGAATGCTCGTCAAGCACATTGACATCAAAACCGCGTAACTGTATGGCGTGCTGCAGGAGGATATATGCATGAAGTAGCCTCCGGGGTACTCAAACGCCTTGTCTGCAGACGTATCATCCCAACAATGACCACCCACCACACGCTAACCTTTCTCAAAATACGAATATCTCCAACAAATATGCCGAACAATAACATCTCTAATCTACGACTTGGACATCTAAACGTACGAGGACTTGAAAGCCACATCGACGAGCTCAAACTACTGCTTCACAGGACGGAATACCACTTCTTCGCAGTCACGGAAACGAAACTAAAATCCTCTGCACCTGTTGGACCAGTCCGTGTACCAGCTTACAACTTCGTGAAACATTCATTACCATCCAACAGAGGCCGTGGAAGCAAATCCTGTGGAGGAATCAGGATTTACGTGGTGAAAGGTCTGACGGCAACCCCAGTACTCAAATCTACATACGATCCAGACGTGTTTCTAGCGCAAAGGTTCGAGTATCTCGTCGTTAAGGTAAAAATCAACGATCTCAACATTAGAATCGTCACCATCTACAATCCCTCCGATTCGAACCCGCATTTTGCACGAGAGTACGAGAAGCTCCTTTTCGATGTCCAGGATTTCGCCTTTGACCGAATCTTCGTTGCCGGAGACTTTAACATCAACGTCACTGCTCAACAGTCATCAGGAAATCTGAGATCGCTCATCCGTATTCACGATGCCTTCCACCTTACCATCCTACCAACACCACCCACAAGAATAGCAGAAAGAAGTTCAACGACAATCGATCTACTCATCACAGACAGTCCTGAATCTATACGTACAGCTAAGACAAAATCTTCGAGCCTCTCAGATCATGAGATCATCTTCTTGATCTCCGACGTTAAAGTTAGAAAAGCAGCACATCAGCGTATTATGGTCAGAAATTTCCGTAATGTTGATGTTGTTGCACTTCAGGCAGACTTCCAAACAATGGACTTCAGAGAGGCACTCAACACCGACGACGTTAACACTAAAGCACAGACAATAACAACCAAACTGCAAAACCTAATGGACAGACATGCTCCTGAACGTGAAATTGTTGTAAAAGATGCACGTACGCCATGGATTACAACAGAAATTGAAAGGGCGATTGCCGTGAGAGACCTAGCACACGCACTCTACACGCGAAATCCCAACAGGAGAAGGAACGACAATCAGTGGAACGACTTCGTACGAAAACGCAGTAAGGCAGCATCGTTGATCTCAGCAGCAAAGAAGCGATACGGGGAAACGCATTTTGCACACAACCTCCCTGCAAAAAAGCTT